CCGACGCTTCCTCAACAGATAAGGAAGATATCTCTCTCTTCACGCAACATTTCGACTTTAGGTTCCCTGCACATAGGGCTACCAATTAAAGCTAATACGTCCGTTAGTCGAAGAGTGCAACACACACAAAACTTTTAATCTTCGACTTCCATTGACGATATTGCTCTAAACTTCTATCCTTTTTCTTTAGAGGAATCAAACTGATTGCTCCAACTCAATTAGCTCCTAATTTTTCCGTCTGAGAGCATTCTTTTTTTCACTTTCCTCCACCCCTTTATAACGCGGCTAACCTCGTTAAAGCGCTTATACTCTATCGAATTTACTATATTATCGATAAAAATGACACTATCTGTATCATTATAAAGAGTCCCGACAGCTGTTTGTAACTCCATCCCTCTCTCCCGACTACGCCCTTGGCGCGGTTTGCTAACTAATTCACTGGATGGGGGCCATCTACCAGGGAAATCCCCCCGGTTAATTAATGTTTGCGGATGGAAAAGGCTGCTAAAATATGTTTTCCGTCAAACGGATAAACGAAATAATTGCCGATTCTTAAGGAGTGCTGGAAAAAGAGGACGAATCTCCGATGGCAAAAATCTCTCGAGAGACTCGATTCTTAGAGAAATAATAGGAAAATAAATTGATTTCCGGCAATTTTTAGTTAAATTATTCACGAAATTTACACTTTTAAACTATTATTTGTCAAGGAGGAGAGGGAGGAATTGCTTAAGAGATGCAAACTCGTCGCTCTCCGTTTGCAATTTCTAGTTGATAATGTTTATATTTTTCTTCTTCTACACGTAATTTCGAAATATAATGACAAAAGTACACTCTTTTACTTCCTGTCGTTTATCGAAATAACGAGATATTTGATTGAGTACGGGCGCAATATGCGAAGTAAAACGCTCGGAATGATAAAAGAACCGATAAATAATTTAAATAAGAGATATTAACCAATCAAAAAAGTCGAAATTGACGTCTAAACAACACAATAAACCAATCAAATTTAAGTTTAATCAATAAGATTTCGTGTAGCGGACATTTCCTATCGAGTAACCCAATCGGATTTAAAACGAGTTAAACGAAATAGGCCAATAAAATTGCAGAAAATTTTTATTGTTACGTTATATCGGCCAATAAGATATTAACTATCGATCGACCAATCATATTTCGGCATGCCTCTTAAGACGTATGAATTAACCAATAAGATGCTAAGATGCCAGGAGACGATTGACCTTTAAAAACAAAAATACCGAACTAACCAATGAAATTAATTATATCATTTAAGGTAATAATTACGTAAAACGAAGTAATTAACCAATGAGATAAGTTAAAGAAGAGGTATAACCAATTAGATATAATATAAGAGTCAGCAGTAACCTATAATTTGAATTAGCAAATCGGGTATAAGATACTTATAACTAAAAATCACGTGCAACCAATAAGATGTTTCCTCTCTTATAACCGAAGTTTAGACCAATCGGATGAAAGCTGTAATAATTAATTAGAGATTAATTAGAAATTTTCGAATTAAGATTGGCTAAATAATAGCCAATAAAATGAGTTTTTTTTAAATATTAATTAATCAATCAAAAATTAATTTATAATTACTCTCCGAACACATATATAAACCGATCAATAAAGTTAAATATCTCAATAAATCGAACCGATAGACAAACTAACCAATAGGATATAAACTAATAACCATTCAAAAATTCAAAAACGAGAATCGAATTCTTTATTGGTTAATTCGAATTTCATTAAGAAATTGAAATAAACCAATAAGACGATACCAACGCAACAAACAGTCATAAAAACCGACCAATAAGGTTTAAGTTAGTATTTATATCGACAAATCGAACCGACATATACGAATTAACCAATAAAACATAATCTAAAAAGTTAAAAAAGAATTTAAACTTTTCAATTTTAAATTTAAAAAAAAAGCCAGGCTTTTATTGGTGAATTGAAAAATCTTACAGAAAGTCGATTAATTGGTTAATTTTGTAATTCAAATGAACCAATCGGGAGGGAGTATTTAAGATAAAGAAGAAAAGGCGAATTATACCTTATAAATGGTGTATTTTTGTAGGGAAAATAGGGGAAATATTTAAAAACGTCACTAACTGAATGGAATCGTCGGAGGGGTCCTAAGAGACGGATTTTTTTCTTGCACTCTTACTTGTTCGATAAGGCATTGGTCAAATGAAACTTGATAGATGGCAATACTCTTAATATTATACGTGTCAAGCTATTTAATGCATATAACATGTTCCTACAAAAGTTAAGATCGATTTTTAATTTAAGACATCGACCCCGGCTCCACTTTTTTCGGGGGGAGGAAGATTCCCTCGGGGGGAATATGTTCCACTATAACTCAGTCGACATGCAATAATACGCTTGACCCTGGAATCACGGATTTGCCTTCTATTATCGCCATTGTTTTCTTAGAAGTTTAGCCAAATCTTTCGTAGTACGTCCTGTATGTCGCTATTTTCTTCGCTTTCTCCCTGTAAGGGCGCTAATTACGCCGCCGTTTTCTTGGTTAATTACGGGAATTGGCTAATTAAAAATTTAATCAAAATGATAATTGAAAAAATTCCCTAAATTTCCCTTGAAAAATTGCAGTTAATTACGCTTCTTTCTTTCGGTGTGGACCTACTTTAAATCGATTTTTATCCGTAATTTTATGAAAATATTTAAAAGTACGTCCTGTATGTCGCGCCTTTCTCGATTTATGCATTTAAATTCTTTAAATTTCCCCATATTTAAAGATTAATAAAGGAACTACGCTACCATTTTCTTGTATAAATCTATCTTAACCCCATCCGACTACAAATTTGCCTTTTAGTTATTAAAACTGTGTGTAAAAGTACTGTACTGTACGTCCCGTACGTCGCGATTTCTAGATATAGCCTAAATATATCCTTAAATTATATAAAATATCCCGAAATTTCCCCTCGGAGTGAGTTTAACAATGGAATTATTTTTTGCCTAAACCTCCCTTAAACGACCCCAATAAACGATTTGCCTGTTATTATCTCTATTATTTATCAAAACACTTAACACTACTGTACAGTACGTCCTATACGCCTAGATAGGAACGTTAAAAAATCCCTAAAATTATTATATAGAATCCCCAAATTCCCTCTCTAGATATCTCTTTTTCCTTGTACAGTACAAATCCCCCTTAAATTGTTGTCATAGCGGGTTTTTCCCGTTAACCTCCGTACTATTTTCTTAGCAATTTACGAAAATATTCGAAAGTACGTTCTGTATGTCGCGATTTTTGGCCGTAAACATTAAAAAAATCCGTCTAAAACACCCCTTATCTGTAATTTAATAGAGGAACTAATTATTATCCTCGTTTTCTCGCGCAGACCCCCTTAATTTACGAATTAAACTGAAAAATTAAAAAAAAAAAAGCGTAACAGGTTAAAAAGGACGATTTTTCTGGATGAAAATGCGTAGAGAAACGATCGTAGAGTACAGTACATTAACGGATTAAAATGTGATAATCTCTCCCCTCGACCCCGGGGAGTAGGGTTTTTAGTAACAGAAGAAAACTGTAGATTATTTCAATTTTTATCTATTATTTTTACATAATACGGACAAATAACGATATTTTATTATAAAAAAAATAAATAATAATAATTTGTTTTTTCCTCCCTCACGAGTGATAAGTGCTGAGAGCGATTAAACGGATGATACATTAACCTTCTTAGGTTTTCTAGCGTAGTGTACTGTACAAGCGTGGATCAGTGGAAGGGGGATTCAACGGGGGTCGGAAACGCTAAAATTATACAAAATAAACATTAAATACTCTAAAAATTAAGGTTTCGAGCGGGTAAAAACACAGGTTTTCGCGTTTTTTAACACTTAAAAACCCGCTTGTCATGTGGATAAGTGTAAGGTGGGGGTTTAAGAAAGCTATTGTACAAAAAAATATTATACAAAATACACCCTTAAATGTGCTAAAAATTAACGTTTTAAACACCCAAAATACGAATTATTGCGCTCGAAACACTCGAAGTACTGGCTTCGCTTATGTTTAAGCGTAGATCGGTGGAAGATGGGGAGTAAACGTGGTTAAAAAAACGGTAAAATTACATAAAATATTTGTTAAATATGCTAAAAATTAACGTTTTAAACACGTGGAAACGGGAATTTTTGCTCAGTAAACAGTTAAAAACTGTCTCGTCTTACATCTTCTCGCGATCTTAAACAATTTCTACGTTCCTAAACCGTCGCTTTTTAAAAAAATAACAATTAAAATGCACGTACTTACCTCATCGTTATCTTGTTGGGATTTTTCTCTATGTTCGTCACGAGTCAGACGGGACACGTGCAGCTACGTCACGTGACATTCCCCCTGTCGTCGTCCTTCCCCTAATCACCTGCATGCAATATTCAGTTGTTAAGCCGACGTCATTAATACTGAATGTAATACTGGAATGATCAATACACAGACTGATGACATTCTAGTTCAAATATGTGGAAAGATGGGCAAAAGTCTGATACAGTTAAGTAGACCCATTCTCTGCATCCAAATCTACGGAATCATCATCGTTCTCGAAGAATTATAGTCCGAGGGGGGACAGAAATAATATTAAAATACGAACGGGATTAAGGTATGTATTTATATTTTTTTCCTTATATATATTTATATATCTTCACTCATTCATATATTGTGAACTTTGACCCGTATGAATCTTTGACAGCACGCTATCGGGAGGGCGTGTTATTTATTTTTCTCATGTGTATGTGTGTGTGTATATATATATATATGCATGTGTATATATGTATATATATGTATATATACACATACAAGTGGGACAACAAATTCTTCTTCAGGGGGAACGAGGAAACGGAAATTTTTGCCAGAGTTTGGGCCTTACGACCCGGCCCCAGCTTCGTCATATATGTATATATATATGTATATATATATAATTTTTGTTTTGTTTAAAGGGGCTGGGACCTTACACTGTACTAACGAATTACTAATGAGTGGTGGCCGAGTACTTCATCCTCTTCTGTTTCTGTCTCTGGTTACAGAACCAAACTCGTACCACGTTCTTCTTCAAATCTAATTTTTCGGCAATGGCCGCTATCTTTTCACCGGAGGGTCTGGGCTGCACGGCGAAATATGCTTCCAGAGAACGTTTTTCGGGTGCCGCTATCGATGTCCTCTTCCTCTTCTTCTCACCTGTTGGCAGCACGCTGGGGCTATCCGGGTCTCTTCTCTTGTTTCTAGCTTGAGCTTCTGCAGCTTCTAACCATGCTTGGAGTATGGGTTTGAGTGCCACCATGTTGTTGTGTGATAGGGTCAACGATTCGAACCTGCAAATTGTACTTTGAGACAGGGATCCGACTCCTGGTAGCTTGAGATTGGCCAGTGCCTTCCCCACATCCGCCTGTGTGACTCCCAGTTTGATACGACGCTGTTTGAATCTCTCGGCGAATGCCTCCAGCTCTCTGGGATCCGTGTCGACGTCGTGCATGGCTAAAGTATGATGAGAGGAGAGAGTGTGATGGGAACTCATCATGGTATTCATGCTGTGGCTGTATATAGAACTGTGCAGTTGAGGATGGCCGTGGGGATTCATCGAGTTGTTATCCGCTGCCATGGTGAGCGGAGGAAGAGACGAGGGGCACAACGGATCTAACAGATCCATGGTGTCCATTCCGGGATGGCTCACTTGAGAATGGTGTGGTCTACTATTTGCGGTGGGATGTCCACTTCCCATTCCTGGATGATGAGCGTACATCATATCGTGTTTTAGATGAAGTGTAGCACCTCCACTCGGTGAGTGTTTGCTGATGTCGACAGCTGTCAAACCGTCGGCTCTCCCCATTAAAGTATCATCGAGACTCGGAAATAAGTTCCCCTATAAATAGAAATGCCATAGGTAAAGGTCAAAAGCGGCAAAAGGCAGTGAAATACGCCAAATTCTATCACATTTTCGAGAATTTAACCACGCGTAACGCGTTGAAACTTGCCACCAAGGTGTAAATTGTCTCCCGAGTGACGTATAAATTATTGTCACGCGTAATTACGCGACGTACGCTGGAATATACGAGTTTAGTGGACAAGTAGACAAGCTGCGAGCCGAGCGAAGGAGGAGCGCAGCTCGAAGGCTGTGCATTCGTTCGGAGTGGAGTGTCGCGCGGTAATTAGTTTCGTAGGGCAGGGAAGCGTTAAAAAAGGAGAAAAAATGTTCACATACCGGTGGATTTCCCATACAATGTCTCCGCATAGGATCCGCACTGCGGTAGGTGGGAGAATATCTTCCAGGGAAGCAAGTCCCGGTGGCGGTGTTGATGGGAGGATGAAGAGACATATGCTGTTTACCATTCATGGCCGACTCGACTTCTTTACGTGCCGGAAGCTGGAAGTAACTATAAGTCAGCTAGGCCTAAACAGCTATCGAGTTGTGTCTGTCCGGACGTATCCAGTCGGCGTATTATTGTCGCTCACATGGTGCACCTGTTCGCGATTCCGTCGTGACGTCACGGGGATTTTATGCGTGCGCAATCGCAGTAGGGCACCGCCACTTTCCTCCCTCCCTCACCTTGGCTAATCAGACGGTATAGGAGTCTGGCCAGCCACCGGGGGAAAACAACGGCTAAGTAGAAGAAAGACCTGTTAATGGCATTCCCTTGTTGTATAGCCACAGGCTCATTAGAAAGGAAAGGCGCAACTCCGGCTTCAGGTAGGTTTTCCAAGTGCGTGAGAATGCTGATTTATCTAACTTCCCCTTCTTTCATTGCACTTTCCACCCACCAAATAAAGCTAAATAAAGTATATGCGGTCTGTTTAATCATAACTCTAACAAAGAAAAGCAAAAAATAAAATAATAATAATAATAATAATAATAAAAAGTTAACGCTCGGCCCCTGTAAATGTCTCTTTTCCGCTCGACTCGCTAGCTATGCGGGGAAGTTATCACGAAATTAACCTACTTAAACGCTAGCGAATGTAAGTAGCTAGATTACAATGAATTTTTGGGGTGAGCGCAGGGAATTAGGGTCAGGATACCGCAGCACGTGACAGGCAAATGGGGAGCAGATATATGATATTTACCGAGTAAAGGGGATCGACAACGTTTTGTTCCATTAGTGGAGCCTCTCTGCCTGTTACAACTATACTTTCGTTTACTGCAGCGGATAGAACTTGACGTGATAAAAGTCACCTACTTCTGCTTGGATAGTGTATAAAATAAACAATGCGTAATTAGTCAATTAATTGATTTCTATGCAAACAATTTGTTGTGGATCCAATCTATTTGAGTGACTCCTTTATATTTACGAAAATACAATCACTAAGAGTCAAAAATTATGTTGATTAATCGCGTGTTTTGCATATAACAGATGATTTCTTATGGATCATATTTTCGTTTCGTGAGTCATTACCATCGAAATGACTCACCTTTCGAGTTTAAAAATAAAAAAAAAACGAATAAATTCATTTAAAGACAACATTTTAATCTTTTACCGAGTTTAAACTCTTAAAAGTCCGATTAAAATTCACCCGTAATGACAAAATAATAATAATTTAGTATATTTAAAGGTAATAATTAAAACGTAATTTAATATAAAAAATCAAATTAAATGGTGTAAAGACGAAATATTTTATTTATAAAGTTTATAACGATAATAATAATTTTCTCAAAGTTTCTGGCGTAAACTTTATTTTTTTACATTTATTTTTTAATTTAAAGTATATTTTTCCTTTAAAAGTTTCAAACTATTTTAAAATTAAGTGATTTATTTTTATCTTTAGAAATTCCCTGCATATTTTTTCTCTTTTTTAGCTGCGATGTTTACACGAAACAAAGAAGTGAACAAGTTTTTTTTCCCATTTCCTAATACAAAACTGTGTGAAAAATAACCTAATAACACCCTGAAAAAACTGCTTAATTTTTTTTAAAGTAAATTTTATGAAAAATTCTTTTCTTAACTTGCAATTTCAAGAAAAAGAAAATTTTCTTATTTTATTATACAATTTCTCTCGAACCTTTTCTAAATTTCTAATTTTATTAAAATAATGCATAACTTCTTATCCCTTTCTTAGTTATATTCCTTTATATTTTTTCAAATAATTTTCCTAATTTTATCTTTATATTCCATCCTACTTACATACTTTACTTTTATAATATTCTTAACTTCATCCCTTACGTTCTTAGTTATATCCCTCGTATTACGTGAAAGAATATACTGCAATATAAAGGATATAACTAAGTATAGGATGGAATGTAAAGGATGAAGCTAAGAATATAAAGGTAAAGGATGTAAGTAGGAGTAAAAACGAGGTAGGATAGGATGTGAGATGAAACTAGGAATATTATAAGAATGTAATAGGATGAAATATAAAAACAATATTAGGAAGATTAAAACCTATTTTTTTGTATAATCTTCTTAGTTCATCTCTTACATCTCTTTCTTATTTCTATTTACATCCCTTACTTTATATTCTTAGCTTCATCCCTTACATCCTATTCCATTCCCTTACATTTTATTCTTTTTTCTTATAATCCTCTAATTTTATCTTTATATTCCATCCTAATATTCTTAGTTTCATTTCTTACATCCCAATCAATTCCTTACTCATCCCTTATATCCTTTCACTCTCACTATATTTTTGGCTTCATCAATTAAAGCCCATTCATACTACTGTTCGCACCTATTTCTCGTTTATTAAATTGACCTTTGCATCCTCTTCCCGATGAAATTCTTTAATTACCGAAGATGAAACATCAAATTGATCAGTAATTTAATAAAGTTAACTTGTAGATTAATAATTACATCGCAAATTCACGGCATAATTTATATTAACAACAGAATTATTCTACGTAAAAATCACAATTTTTTCTCTCACTTGTGAAATTTATAAACGTAAATTTACACATAAAAGAAAGATTTCTTCATTCTTTACACGCTTTTACTAGTTTTTAACGTGTAAAAATTCTATAGAATCGAATATTAAAATAGCTGGCAATACGGAATTTATCACGCTAAATAATGATTGAAAGTAAATTTATTTTCCAGTTGAATATGTACATTTTTATTACGAAGTTTTTATAGTTTTTGCAACTTTTTCAAACAGATTTTCGCAAATATTTTAATATAAGTTTATTAATTCATTTTTAAAAATCATTTTTCTTACGTTTTAGAAATTCTATTGTTAGTACGTTAGTATTATACTACGTCACACTACTACGTTTCACTTAAATCATTCTATCTCTTACATAAATTTCATCTCATATCCTTTATTCTTTCTCACAATATTTTTAATTATATTCTGTATATCATATTCCTCTTCTATTTCTACATAACCCTCATACGAATTTCATCCCTTACATTCTATCTCTCGCGTCAATTTTATTCCTTACATCCTTTACTTTTTCTTACAATAATTTCATTTCTTATCCCTTATTCTATCTCACAATATTTCTAATTACATCCCATTTCTCCTCTATTTCTCACACAGATTTCATCCCTTATCCCCGATTCTTTCTCGCATAAGTTCCATCCCTTACACCCAATTTTATTTCTCGAATAAATTTTATCCTTTACATCCTTTATTCTTTCTCACGCGAACTTCATCTTTATCTTTTATTCTCTCTCACAATATTCCTAGTTATCCTATTGTAAATGATCACTTTCTTATAATGTCTTATTTACATCCTATACGCAAAATTTCCTATATCCTAATCCTATATCTTCCTACGTTTCTTACTAACTACATCCTTTTATTCCTATTTAAATCTCTTTGTCTCTTTCTCTCTCTTTCTCATCTTTCCTTAAATCCTTTCTTCCCTTCTCATTATTTCTACTTACATCCCTCGCATCTTTTCCTACGTTTCCTCCATCCTTCCGCCACTTAATTACAATCCTACTTACAACATTACCCGGAGATAAATCCTATAAAAAAACACATATTTAATTAGTAAATTTAATTACAATTAAGAAGGAGGACAACGTCTTAATAAAATTATTAATTGAATTTTCTCGTTAGATTAATGGCATTTAAAATATTTAAAAGTATTTATATAGATTTATATATATAAAGATTTTAATTTTTTAATATATATTTTTAAATTTTAAAAATGTAANTAACGCGGCTAACCTCGTTAAAGCGCTTATACTCTATCGAATTTACTATATTATCGATAAAAATGACACTATCTGTATCATTATAAAGAGTCCCGACAGCTGTTTGTAACTCCATCCCTCTCTCCCGACTACGCCCTTGGCGCGGTTTGCTAACTAATTCACTGGATGGGGGCCATCTACCAGGGAAATCCCCCCGGTTAATTAATGTTTGCGGATGGAAAAGGCTGCTAAAATATGTTTTCCGTCAAACGGATAAACGAAATAATTGCCGATTCTTAAGGAGTGCTGGAAAAAGAGGACGAATCTCCGATGGCAAAAATCTCTCGAGAGACTCGATTCTTAGAGAAATAATAGGAAAATAAATTGATTTCCGGCAATTTTTAGTTAAATTATTCACGAAATTTACACTTTTAAACTATTATTTGTCAAGGAGGAGAGGGAGGAATTGCTTAAGAGATGCAAACTCGTCGCTCTCCGTTTGCAATTTCTAGTTGATAATGTTTATATTTTTCTTCTTCTACACGTAATTTCGAAATATAATGACAAAAGTACACTCTTTTACTTCCTGTCGTTTATCGAAATAACGAGATATTTGATTGAGTACGGGCGCAATATGCGAAGTAAAACGCTCGGAATGATAAAAGAACCGATAAATAATTTAAATAAGAGATATTAACCAATCAAAAAAGTCGAAATTGACGTCTAAACAACACAATAAACCAATCAAATTTAAGTTTAATCAATAAGATTTCGTGTAGCGGACATTTCCTATCGAGTAACCCAATCGGATTTAAAACGAGTTAAACGAAATAGGCCAATAAAATTGCAGAAAATTTTTATTGTTACGTTATATCGGCCAATAAGATATTAACTATCGATCGACCAATCATATTTCGGCATGCCTCTTAAGACGTATGAATTAACCAATAAGATGCTAAGATGCCAGGAGACGATTGACCTTTAAAAACAAAAATACCGAACTAACCAATGAAATTAATTATATCATTTAAGGTAATAATTACGTAAAACGAAGTAATTAACCAATGAGATAAGTTAAAGAAGAGGTATAACCAATTAGATATAATATAAGAGTCAGCAGTAACCTATAATTTGAATTAGCAAATCGGGTATAAGATACTTATAACTAAAAATCACGTGCAACCAATAAGATGTTTCCTCTCTTATAACCGAAGTTTAGACCAATCGGATGAAAGCTGTAATAATTAATTAGAGATTAATTAGAAATTTTCGAATTAAGATTGGCTAAATAATAGCCAATAAAATGAGTTTTTTTTAAATATTAATTAATCAATCAAAAATTAATTTATAATTACTCTCCGAACACATATATAAACCGATCAATAAAGTTAAATATCTCAATAAATCGAACCGATAGACAAACTAACCAATAGGATATAAACTAATAACCATTCAAAAATTCAAAAACGAGAATCGAATTCTTTATTGGTTAATTCGAATTTCATTAAGAAATTGAAATAAACCAATAAGACGATACCAACGCAACAAACAGTCATAAAAACCGACCAATACGGTTTAAGTTAGTATTTATATCGACAAATCGAACCGACATATACGAATTAACCAATAAAACATAATCTAAAAAGTTAAAAAAGAATTTAAACTTTTCAATTTTAAATTTAAAAAAAAAGCCAGGCTTTTATTGGTGAATTGAAAAATCTTACAGAAAGTCGATTAATTGGTTAATTTTGTAATTCAAATGAACCAATCGGGAGGGAGTATTTAAGATAAAGAAGAAAAGGCGAATTATACCTTATAAATGGTGTATTTTTGTAGGGAAAATAGGGGAAATATTTAAAAACGTCACTAACTGAATGGAATCGTCGGAGGGGTCCTAAGAGACGGATTTTTTTCTTGCACTCTTACTTGTTCGATAAGGCATTGGTCAAATGAAACTTGATAGATGGCAATACTCTTAATATTATACGTGTCAAGCTATTTAATGCATATAACATGTTCCTACAAAAGTTAAGATCGATTTTTAATTTAAGACATCGACCCCGGCTCCACTTTTTTCGGGGGGAGGAAGATTCCCTCGGGGGGAATATGTTCCACTATAACTCAGTCGACATGCAATAATACGCTTGACCCTGGAATCACGGATTTGCCTTCTATTATCGCCATTGTTTTCTTAGAAGTTTAGCCAAATCTTTCGTAGTACGTCCTGTATGTCGCTATTTTCTTCGCTTTCTCCCTGTAAGGGCGCTAATTACGCCGCCGTTTTCTTGGTTAATTACGGGAATTGGCTAATTAAAAATTTAATCAAAATGATAATTGAAAAAATTCCCTAAATTTCCCTTGAAAAATTGCAGTTAATTACGCTTCTTTCTTTCGGTGTGGACCTACTTTAAATCGATTTTTATCCGTAATTTTATGAAAATATTTAAAAGTACGTCCTGTATGTCGCGCCTTTCTCGATTTATGCATTTAAATTCTTTAAATTTCCCCATATTTAAAGATTAATAAAGGAACTACGCTACCATTTTCTTGTATAAATCTATCTTAACCCCATCCGACTACAAATTTGCCTTTTAGTTATTAAAACTGTGTGTAAAAGTACTGTACTGTACGTCCCGTACGTCGCGATTTCTAGATATAGCCTAAATATATCCTTAAATTATATAAAATATCCCGAAATTTCCCCTCGGAGTGAGTTTAACAATGGAATTAATTTTTGCCTAAACCTCCCTTAAACGACCCCAATAAACGATTTGCCTGTTATTATCTCTATTATTTATCAAAACACTTAACACTACTGTACAGTACGTCCTATACGCCTAGATAGGAACGTTAAAAAATCCCTAAAATTATTATATAGAATCCCCAAATTCCCTCTCTAGATATCTCTTTTTCCTTGTACAGTACAAATCCCCCTTAAATTGTTGTCATAGCGGGTTTTTCCCGTTAACCTCCGTACTATTTTCTTAGCAATTTACGAAAATATTCGAAAGTACGTTCTGTATGTCGCGATTTTTGGCCGTAAACATTAAAAAAATCCGTCTAAAACACCCCTTATCTGTAATTTAATAGAGGAACTAATTATTATCCTCGTTTTCTCGCGCAGACCCCCTTAATTTACGAATTAAACTGAAAAATTAAAAAAAAAAAAGCGTAACAGGTTAAAAAGGACGATTTTTCTGGATGAAAATGCGTAGAGAAACGATCGTAGAGTACAGTACATTAACGGATTAAAATGTGATAATCTCTCCCCTCGACCCCGGGGAGTAGGGTTTTTAGTAACAGAAGAAAACTGTAGATTATTTCAATTTTTATCTATTATTTTTACATAATACGGACAAATAACGATATTTTATTATAAAAAAAATAAATAATAATAATTTGTTTTTTCCTCCCTCACGAGTGATAAGTGCTGAGAGCGATTAAACGGATGATACATTAACCTTCTTAGGTTTTCTAGCGTAGTGTACTGTACAAGCGTGGATCAGTGGAAGGGGGATTCAACGGGGGTCGGAAACGCTAAAATTATACAAAATAAACATTAAATACTCTAAAAATTAAGGTTTCGAGCGGGTAAAAACACAGGTTTTCGCGTTTTTTAACACTTAAAAACCCGCTTGTCATGTGGATAAGTGTAAGGTGGGGGTTTAAGAAAGCTATTGTACAAAAAAATATTATACAAAATACACCCTTAAATGTGCTAAAAATTAACGTTTTAAACACCCAAAATACGAATTATTGCGCTCGAAACACTCGAAGTACTGGCTTCGCTTATGTTTAAGCGTAGATCGGTGGAAGATGGGGAGTAAACGTGGTTAAAAAAACGGTAAAATTACATAAAATATTTGTTAAATATGCTAAAAATTAACGTTTTAAACACGTGGAAACGGGAATTTTTGCTCAGTAAACAGTTAAAAACTGTCTCGTCTTACATCTTCTCGCGATCTTAAACAATTTCTACGTTCCTAAACCGTCGCTTTTTAAAAAAATAACAATTAAAATGCACGTACTTACCTCATCGTTATCTTGTTGGGATTTTTCTCTATGTTCGTCACGAGTCAGACGGGACACGTGCAGCTACGTCACGTGACATTCCCCCTGTCGTCGTCCTTCCCCTAATCACCTGCATGCAATATTCAGTTGTTAAGCCGACGTCATTAATACTGAATGTAATACTGGAATGATCAATACACAGACTGATGACATTCTAGTTCAAATATGTGGAAAGATGGGCAAAAGTCTGATACAGTTAAGTAGACCCATTCTCTGCATCCAAATCTACGGAATCATCATCGTTCTCGAAGAATTATAGTCCGAGGGGGGACAGAAATAATATTAAAATACGAACGGGATTAAGGTATGTATTTATATTTTTTTCCTTATATATATTTATATATCTTCACTCATTCATATATTGTGAACTTTGACCCGTATGAATCTTTGACAGCACGCTATCGGGAGGGCGTGTTATTTATTTTTCTCATGTGTATGTGTGTGTGTATATATATATATATGCATGTGTATATATGTATATATATGTATATATACACATACAAGTGGGACAACAAATTCTTCTTCAGGGGGAACGAGGAAACGGAAATTTTTGCCAGAGTTTGGGCCTTACGACCCGGCCCCAGCTTCGTCATATATGTATATATATGTATATATATGTATATATATGTATATATATGTATATATATGTATATATATGTATATATATGTATATATATGTAGTAACTGTAAAAAAGAATGTTAATTACTTTAACAAAACTAAATTATATTTTATAGAAAATTAATTAAAATCGTTTTGCGATTTATTAAAAAGTCAAAATTGGAATTTCTGGAGGCAAAAGATTGTTTTCTTTTTCTTGAGAGAAAAATTTGCGATTTTTTAAAGAGAGAAAAATTGTATTTTTTTCTAACAAAAGTCGTATTTTCTCCGGGCAAACGTTGCGTTTTTTAAGACAAACTTGCGATTTTCCGGAAAAAATGCATTTTCTTCGGACGAAGAACGTGCGTTTTATTAAAGCGACAAAATTGTAATTTTTTGAGACAAATTGTATTTTTTAAAAAAGCAAAACTGTCTTTTTTGAGACAAAATTTATAATTTTTAGAGACAGGAATTGCGTTTTTTTAAAGCCGCAAAAACCGATTTTTCTGACAAGAATTTGCGTTTTCTTAAAGCGACAAAATTGTAATTTATTAGAGAAAAATTGTAATTTCTCGAGAGAAAAATTTGCTTTTTTTAAAACACACAAAATTGTGTTTTCTGGGGGAAAATTTTTTTAAGACACAAAAATTGTAATTTTTAAAATAATGTTTTTCTACATAAAAGTTACATTTTTAGAAAAAGAAAATTGATTTTTTTTTTAGAATAAAAAAGATTTTTTCGTGTTCACAAAAATAAAATTTGTGTCTTTTTGAAGATGGAAAGCATTTTGTGCAATTTCTATGGTCTGAGAAGAAAACAGAAATAAAATTATATTTGTGTTTTCTTCACGGAAAAATTAGCAAAAATTACAGAAAAATTTACAAAAAAATATCCCAAAATTTTTAAAAAGTTACAAACAGTTAAAAAAATACAAAATCGAAATAAAATTTAAAAAACAAATAAATTAAAAATAAAAAAAATTTACAAGAAATTCTTCTAATTCGAACACTTTTATGAAGAATTTTAAGTTTTGTATAAAACTGTCAAATTTTCTTATCTTTTAAAAAAATTTATTTTACTAAAAAAATACAAAAAAAAATTATTTTTTAAATGAAAAGATAAATAATAAATGATAATAAAGAAATATTTTTGGATATAAAATATTAAGAAGAAATTCGTTAAAATATAAAATTAAAATCGGTAAAATTTTATAAATTTTTTGCCTCTTTTTTTTCCTTTTAATAAAATGGCAAAAATTTTTGTAGAAAATTTATTAAAACTTTTATTATTTTCATTTATTTTTTATTGTTTTTTATCCCGGAAAATTGTGTAAATATTATAATGCTGTAAACATTTTAATTTGCATTTTTAAGGATGTTTTCTGGCCATTTTTTTTAATTTATAAAGCAGTAATGACGTCGAAGTTAAGGAATTCGGTGATGAAACGTCAAGAATTTCCTCGTCAAAAACGGGTTTTACGTAAAAATTTTTAAATAATTCGTGTAATTTTTTCTGAAAATCACAAATTTCCTGAGGGAGGAGGCCATTTTAGTCCCGGCAAGTGATTGAAATCACCCACAAAAAAAAAGGTTATTTACTGCGAGAAAAGGCAATTTTGTTAGAAAAATTAGCAAATTTTGATGTTTTTTTATGTAAAAATTGCAATATTAGGAAGGAAAAATGTGATTTTTGGGTGGAAATGATTGCAGTCGCGTGTGTAAGTACGATAAAAAGGGCAAAAAATTGTTGTGTTTTTTGCGCTTTTATCGGGAAATCTTACGTAAAAAACAATTTTCTACAAAAAGAGTAATTTATATCTAAAAAAATTGTAAATTTATGCAAAAAAACGTTTTAAAAGTATAGATTTTATTCGAGAAAATTGAAATTCTTTCGAGGAAACAGATACGTTTTCTCCGATCAAAACAATACTTTTAAAATAGAAAAATAAGAAAAAAAATTGAATTTTATTTTTAAAAAATTCAAATATTTTCACTAAAATAACACATTTATTCGCAGAAAAAAAATTAATTTTTCTATACGCAATTATCAAACGCGTAAACACGAAAGAAGTAAATTTAAGTTTTTTATTTTAATTAATTCTCAATTAATTAAATTTACCTCATAATTGAAAAATAACACGCTTAAAACTCTCAATTACTTTTCATTTATAAAATAAAAAGAATGCCTCGTCTGTAAGCATCCTTTTCCAACTGATCTTCCGTATCTTTCTATCATCTCTACAGTTAAACTCTTAATTATAATTATCTTAATTTATATAAAAACGTAACGACTTTATTAATTACAATTAATATATTTTAAGGCAAAAAACCACGAAAATTACGCGGTTTTAAGCGACACTTTCCGTCATATTTGTCTCATCATCTTTAAGAAAACTCATCCAAGTGATGCTAGACCGTTACCGACAGACATTTCCTACAGTTGAAGGTTGGAAAAGTTGGAGAGAAATTCGATGAGTAATTCACTCTTTGATCATCATCCTCGTCATCACTTAAATATCGATACGATTACGAACGGGTGGGAAGTAAAGAAGACAAGGAGAGAGGGGGGTTGGAAGACGAACGAGCCAGGTAAATAAATTTAAAAAAGGGGGTGGGGCGGATAGGAGGCGTGGTGGGGGTACGAAAAATCCTACATCTATCCAGATCATCATTAATTTATAACATAAAAACAAAAAATTCCTCATCTACAAGCATCCTTCTCCGACTGATCTTCCGCATCTTTACAGTTAAGTTCTTAATTATATTTAATCTTAAATTTATATAGAAAGGTAACGACTTTATTAATTATTTCAATTCAAAACTCACGAAAATTGCCGAGTTTCTAGCGACATTCTCTTCGACATCTCGAAGGAAATTCATCCGACCGATGCTAGACCGTTACCGACAGACATTCGCTACAGTTTAAAGATTAGGAAAGTTGGACAGAAATTCGATGAATAATTCTCGCATCTTGATCATCATCCTCATCATCGATACGATTATAAATAGGTGGGAAGTAAAGTAGAAGACAGAGAGAGAAGAGGGGGGGTTGAAAGACGAACGAGCGAGGTAAATAAATTAAAAAAGGGGGTGACGCGGCTAGGAAGCGCGGCGGGGGGTAGGAACGAGGTTACGAGAAATCCTACGCCTATCCAGATCAAGGGTCACGGTGCACCGTTAATTAAAAGCCCTTGAGGACGAGCCCAGTCTAAAGCCTTATGGAACCAAAGCGGGGTCTTCTACTAAATAATTCAACGGTCTCGGATTCGTCAATATTTCAACAACCTATGGCGCAACTTGTAACAGTCACACGACCAGCCAGTCACTGGCTGTTACCGACTCCATCTCCGCCCTCCATGTTTGCCAGGCGTGTGTTTGCCTCTAGAGAATCGCATCTCTCTCTCTGTCTCTCTCTTCCTCTCTCTCTCTCTTCCCCCTTCTCCCCCTCTCTTAGGGACGTCAGGGTCTGTTGGCCCCGTCACGTGACCGCCTATACCTTATTAATAGAAATATGGTGTTTACTTTAACCGTTGGCTAGGGCTTAGAAGGTCCCTAGCACTCCGGCAATTGTTAATTGAACTTTATATATGGTTTGTAGTAGTTGTAATGCTTCTAATTACTGAATGTAGAGATAGTTTCCCAATGAAAGTTAAGTTGGATGTTGGATTTGGTTTGTTGATTACCTTGCCAATTGAATTAGTCATGTTTGCAAACTTTCGACGACAAATTCTCATTTAACATTCTGAATATATTCCAATTTTGATACGTCGATTAATTAGTCATTTTCTCTTACTTTATAAATATATTTTCTTATCCTTTACTAATTATTCCTCCTTATTTTTCTTCCTTCCTCCTCCCCCGCAGTAAACCGTAAACTTAAAAAAATCCCCTCTAAGAATTCCCTATTCTTATGGTTTTTTTTAAGGCTTTAAACTTAATTAAACGTGGTAGAAACTTAATTCATTTTATGCTTTATTTTCTTGATATTTTCCTCGTAAATTTCCCTTATATTACCTATAAATTTCCCCAAATTATTAATAAGATAAACATAATTAAATCTTTAAAAACGCATTTCTTAAAGTTAATAAAGTTTCTACATTATTTAATTAAGTTTAAACCTTAATATGCNAGTTTTCCTTTCATCAAACAAGGTTTCTATTCTAAAATAAACACTAGAAAGCGAAAGTTTTAAAAAGTTTCTTGGAATTCTATCGAAACGAATTAGTCTAAATTCCCACAAGAAGCGCCAGAAAAGAACAAAGAACGAAAGAAAAACGAGCGAGCGAGATAAGAAGTAAGAAGAAAGATTACAAGTAAAACTTTGATGAAAGTCTATAATTTTGCCTTTCACCAGATAACCATGTTTTTTTTCCCTCTCTCTCTCTCTCTTCCTCCTTCCTCCTCCTCCCTCCTTCTCTTCCTTCTTCTCTCTTTCTCTCGTTCTCTTTCTTATCCCCAAAGACCCCGAGGGTAATCCATTCTGTGATTGCCACAGAGACCTAAAACAAAGAGATTAAGAGCGAAATTTTACAAGTTTTTCCTTAAGAACGAATTGGTAATTGCTGTGTTTTCTGGGAAGAAAAGGGCGTAGAAACAATAAAAAAAACACAAAGTAAACACCGTCATTGTTGGGGTCGAACTTGGAGAGAGCGAGAGAGAGGGAGGGAGGGAGGGAGTTTTTACTCCATCTACTTATCGCTTCTCTTCCCATCTTCGGTTTTGTCACACCCTATATTAACGGGACGAGATCTCATACATCACTCGTGCCTCTTTCCCCCCTCGTTCGGGGTGGAGGGAGCACGTGTGGTATGTCACTCGGACTAGAATGTGACACTTAAGTGACGAATAGAGATGAATGAGGAGGCTTCTATCCCCACCCTATTATACCGTTGAGTGAAAGTTGATCCTTCTTACCAAAGATATAAATTGGCAAAAATTCTCTTCACTACTTTTTAGGGTCGGTGTTGAAGAAAAGGGGGGACTTAACACCTGCGCCTGGTTCTTCTACACGTGTTAGAAGTGTATCTAAATTAACAAATACACAGCCTTACACGGCAATTATCGCTTATAATCTCCCACCCCTTTACGTGTTAATAAAGGGGTTTTTTTCTGGGAATCATTTTATAATTTTTTTCCCTAACGGGAATTGATAGGGGAAAACGGGGGTGGAGATTTTCAGAGCGTACTAACGCGTGCCACGTATTGATGATGATTATACTAAAGTCGAAATGGCGTGACAACGTGGAGTGCAGATTGGACAGTTCCCAGTAAGAGAAGCGATTGTTGTTAAGGGTTTATACACGCTTAAACTAACAATAGTTAGCTAAGGGCTATGACAGGTTAGAAACAACACACTACAATTAAAATTTAAGAGTTTTAAACACAGGAAAGTGAAAGGTGCCGGATCTCGGGTCTTTAAAACAAGGCGGAAAAGTCGCAAAATTATCAAAATTTTTATCGATACGATTACGGGGGATACCAGGGAATGAATAATACTACAATAGGGTACCACGCAGAGGAGATTTTTTCATATGAGAAATGGTACAGCGGTTCGATCAATGCACCACATGCTCGTACACATAGCAATCGGTCAACTAGTGAATGATGATTGTATTGCAAAGTATAGGGCGATAATTACGATGTTAGGATAGAGAATTTGGCATAGAGAAATCCTACAGGGTCGCTCTGTCATCAATCATAAGTAGACAAACGACGATTCATAATGGGGGATGCTAGTTGTAGCTGTTAGGTGGACGTGTCCTACGCTTAAATAACTCGTAAAGCTGATGTTTTCTGTGCGCGTAATTAAGCGGTGTTATTGAACTAGTTGGTGTTTAGATCCTACAGGATCGTTTGTAGTTACAGGACTAAAGGGGGGAAGTAAGAGTGTAACTGTTAGTAGAAGGTGTCCTACGCTTAAATAAGGATTTTTCTTAGCGCGTAGATTAGTTTTAAAGCTTATTTTTTAACGTAGTAACGCGTAGAGACTAGCTAACGTCTCTCAGAAAACTCTACAGGGTGGCATTTTTATCACTCGACGATTCGTAACTGTTAAAAGAAGGCCTGCAAAACCTTAAATCAGGTCTTAAAGGGCGTATTATTAATCTCATTGATGTATATAACGCATGGATGCTGCGCTCGACCACGTGTGTTAAAGCGCTTACGTTTATCACTCATCCGTGCGCATCAGGCAACATGGAAGAGGATGGACCCTTAACGCAACGATAGTTAACTAATTGGGAAACGTTTTAAGAGTTAAAAGTAAGAAAAATTATTTAATTTAAATTCGGATAGTGAAGTTATATTAACAATATTCTCAACAGGGATGGATAATTAGTGGCAAACGAGTGATGGATGGTAGTAAATTCCAGTTTATTATTAATACACTCACCCATATTGGTTACAAAATTTCTCGTTAACAAATCGCCATGTTAGAGATAGCGAAGTTGAACTATGTTCTGGTTAATTATCCACAGAGGGGGTAATTATAATATAGATAGGATGTTGGTACTTAATTATCTAAGTTGTAGTAGGATAGTTCAATTATTCAAGTTCTTTAAACTGCTTCTTTAGTTTGTAAAGTCTGATGACAACGGAAGTAAAGACTTAAAAGTATAAATAGTTGAGGATTAATGAAATGGCAATATTATTTTTAATTATTTTAAATCATTCTCTAACAAACTCTTGTAATATTCATCCGAAGGTAACGATAACTTCTTCCTCCTTTATCTTATTTTCTGATACTTCTATGGCCAATTTTGTGTAAAATTCCGGCTTCTTCTGCAAAAAATTCAAGAAGAAATGATTTTATGCTTTAAAATTTACTAAATTTTAAATAAATTTCACTTATTTTTTGATGCAGATTATATACAAAATGCGATTGTTCTATGCGAAGATGCTGCCTATCTTCTCCGTTATGAAAAGTGATTTTCGTGCTTAAAATATGCTAAATTTTCAAGATAATTAATGAATTCAACTCGTTTGTATCTTTTTATAATTAATTTTTTTACTTTATATGTTTAAATCGTGTAAATATTAACTCCGCAACTTTGAGATATTCCTAAATCCGCAGTGATGCCGAGGAGCAATCCAGTTAAGAGAGAGATGTTGCGCCGTAAAATTTAAAAATATTACGAAATAAATTTAAAAGTTATAAAATTATATTCAAGATTGTTTATATTATATGAAAATATAACAAATTTATAAAATTTAAACGGAATTTTTTGCTTAAAAATCCATAAAACGTAACAAATCACACCTCGAATGTTTAGCATCACTTTTAAACTAAAAATTCTAAATATAAAAAATATTTTAAAATAAAAATTCAAATAATTTATATTAAAAAAAGAAGAAAAAAATAGAAAAAATTGGTTGTCCCTCGCAGGTATAGGGAAGACCAAGAGCAACGGATGAAGCGTGTTGAAAGGAGAAGGAGAAGAAGAAGCCGTAAATAAAGATAAAAGGAAATTTAAAATAAAATTCTAATTATATTTACGTAATAAAATTGGCATAAATTTTGTATAGTTTTGTAGCAAATTAATTACGAAGAAAATTCCAAAGTGTATAACGAACGAGACACAAACGTGACGTGTCACGTGTGCATAGGAGCGCGCGTGGCTTTCCCATGGTGACGTACGTTGGTTTAAGTATATTCGAATTGTCTCGAGAGAATCAAATTCATTTGTGGAACAAAACGGGAACCAATTTGGTGCCAAACTCTTGATTGTTACGAGAGAGTTGATTGCTTAAAGCATTGATGATGTCAACTTTCGACGTGGATTTCTAATTATACCTATCCAAATAACTGTCTGGATTTTGAAGGAAAACTTTTGTTTATCTTCCAATATTTTACTGTAAATTCTTTAAATAAATAAATAATTTATATTTTTAGAATAGAAAATTCATTCGGATCAATCAATTTCCTCGCCAAATTTCTAGCTAAATCTTCCAATTTTTAAAGCATATTTTTGGCCATTTTTAATGATATTTTCACCTTTATCAAGAATTTTTTACATTTATTAATAATTTATAAAAATTATTTTATGGGGTTTAAAACCTTTTAGAATTTATTAAGGTTTTTACCAATTTAATTATGGTTTTTTTTAAGGTTTATAAACGTCTATTAAATACTTTTAAAGGTTACTTTAAGGACTTTAAAGATTATTGAAAGCTTATTGAGCATCGTTTAGGGTTTTTAAAGCTTCTCAATAAACCTTTAATATATTTAAGATTTCACTTTAATTTGTAACGGAAAATTTGGGGATTTTTTCACAATTTTTCCATATTTATTTGACTTTTAAAATTAAAACTATAAATTTCGGGCATTTTCTCGACATCTTAATTATACAATTGCAACATTTTATTAAGTTTTTGCAGAAATTCAGAGGATTTTTATTTTAAATTGAAGCAATTTCCAAGATGCATTAGAATTGTGGAGAAAAGATGAGGACATTTTGAGCACTTTCTCACCAATTTTTACGTATTTGTTGGAGAAATTCGAAGATTCTCTTGTAAAATTCCGCTTTTATCGCAATTCTTCCCCTTACACAACGTAGAAAAGTAAATATTTTAAATAAAAGAAATTTGCGTAACTCGTATAATTCGTTTTGATCATTTTTAAATAAACTTTTCACACCGAAAATAAAAGTAAATAAAAATTGTCGACTTGTATTTTTATTTTCTTATAAAATAACAAATTATTTATTTATTTTATCAATAATTAATTTGGTTTAATGCCCGAAGAAAAAAAAAATCGTAATTAATTATCTATTCTAAAAAATGATTTTTACAAATAATTAAATATATTTTAACCGTGTTTATTTACTTACTTAAAATGTAAATATAATTAAAATGTAATCTAATTAATGCAATTTAATTTAAAAAAAAATTAAAATTAAATAAAAATTACGCGCTATTAAATAAATTAAAGGCGTTAAAATTCTTCCAGTTTTAAAGGATTTTTGTATTTTATAGAAAATTAATTAAAATCGTTTTGCGATTTATTAAAAAGTCAAAATTGGAATTTCTGGAGGCAAAAGATTGTTTTCTTTTTCTTGAGAGAAAAATTTGCGATTTTTTAAAGAGAGAAAAATTGTATTTTTTTCTAACAAAAGTCGTATTTTCTCCGGGCAAACGTTGCGTTTTTTAAGACAAACTTGCGATTTTCCGGAAAAAATGCATTTTCTTCGGACGAAGAACGTGCGTTTTATTAAAGCGACAAAATTGTAATTTTTTGAGACAAATTGTATTTTTTAAAAAAGCAAAACTGTCTTTTTTGAGACAAAATTTATAATTTTTAGAGACAGGAATTGCGTTTTTTTAAAGCCGCAAAAACCGATTTTTCTGACAAGAATTTGCGTTTTCTTAAAGCGACAAAATTGTAATTTATTAGAGAAAAATTGTAATTTCTCGAGAGAAAAATTTGCTTTTTTTAAAACACACAAAATTGTGTTTTCTGGGGGAAAATTTTTTTAAGACACAAAAATTGTAATTTTTAAAA